GATGTGGGCAGTTATATGCTCACAAGTGAAGCATTAACTTGGTGGGAAAATTTCTTGAAACTACACCAAGGAGAACCTGAATTGAGTACTTGGGATGGTTTTAAGAAGGTGTTCATGCAAGAATACATACCTGATAGAAAAAGGCATGAATTACGAAAGGAATTTGTTGATTTAAAGTAAGGGTCACATACTGTTGAGCAATACAAGAAGGAGTTTGATCATTATCTACCCTTTGTGGGTAGTCCAGTTGTTGATGAACAAGCCAAGGCTGATAAATTCTTATAGGGCTTGAATTCTAATATATATTTGGCAATGAACCAATTTAAACCCACCACATATAGAAAGGCAACGGACCAAGACACAGATCAGGGGAAGGCTATGGCTAGGGTCAAGTCATTGGGGCAGCATGATGTTGGCTCTTTTTTAAGAAGAGAAAACTTGATAAGGGCCATAAACCCTTTACCCCTGCACCACAGAGGTCTGACACTAACAAGGTTTCTAAAGAACTAGGAGTTATCAAGACGGCAAGCCAAGCATTAGTAGCTCAGCGTGCTCGTCCCGCTCAGCCTACTTGCCATGCTTGTGAGAAAGTTGGGCACACTCGCGACCTGTGTCACACTGCTACTGGGGCTTGTGAGAAAGTTGGGCACACTTGCGACCTGTGTCACACTGCTACTGGGGCTTGTTTTAAATGTGGCAAGCAAGGCCATCAGATTGCAAATTGCCCGCAGTCGGACTCTAAAGCTCAGAGTACTCAAACTACATCTCAGCAAGATTCTACTAATCAGGGGGCACAGAAACAAAATGTCGAGGTTAGGATAAGAACCCAACAAGCGAGAGTTAACATGATGACTCATAAGGAAGCAGCGACTATTGATGTAATCATGGGTAGTTCGCCTGTCAATTTCAATTATGCATATGTTTTATTTGATTCGGGTGCATCACATTCTTTTATTGCTCGATCTTATTCTTGGAAACAAATTTATCTATTGATATCTCTAATCTTGAATTGTATGTGGACACCCTTTTAAGAGGGGTGATGACTACTAGAGATGTGTGTAGAGCTATAAATATTTATGTTGGTGGTAGATAATTGAGTGCTGATCTATTTGTTTTGGATATCTTTGACTTCAACATCCTTTTGGAGATCAATTGGTTGTCAAAATATTTTGCCTTTATAAACTGTCATAAAAAATGGGTAGTTTTCAATATTTCAGGTGAGCCAAAATTTAGTTTTCAAGGCAGTGGTTTTTTTTCCCCATCTATGTTAATATTTGCCTTGTAGGTTCAGAAATATCTATTGAGTGGGTGCCATGGTTTTCTAGTTTCTGTCACTGATGCTAATAGTGTGACGCCAAGATTAGAAGATATACCTGTGGTGTGTGAATTTCCAAATGTATTTCCAGAGGATCTCCCAAGTTTACCTCCGGATAGAGAGATCGAATTTGCTATTGATCTTGTTCCTGGCTTCGAACCTATTTCTAAAGTCCCATACCATATGGCTCTAGCAGCATTGAAGGAGTTAATGGTCCAGCTTGAGGAACTCCTTGAAAAAGGATTTATACAACCTAGTGTGTCACCTGGGGGAGCTCCAGTGTGGTTTGTTAAGAAGAAAGATGGGAGCATGAGACTATGCATTAACTATCGAGAGCTAAATAAGGTGACAGTGAAGAACCAATATCCACTTCCTAGAATTGAGAACTCAGATTAAGGATGGCGGAAGAAAAGGAAGAAAAGGGGAAGAGAGGGAAAGAAGAAGAAAAAGAAAGGAGGAGGAAAGGAAAGAAGGAAGAAGGTTGAAAATCAAAGAACCAATGTTGGGTGAAGAGAGGAGAGTTGCTCGGTACCTTTGGAGTTAATAAAAGAAATGGAGAGGGAGTGAGTGTGTGACAAAGGGTGTAACAAGAAAGAGTGTATATATCATTTCTCCCTCTTTTTATCACAGTATTAAGGTGTAAAAATGCATAAATAAACTTAAAAAATCCAAATAAAGAGAAATTTGAGGTTAACTTTCCTCTTCAACCAAACACCCCCAATACATTTTAATAACTTATAAAATTAATTAGAAATAAAAACACGTCAAAAATTTAAACAATTAGAACTTCAGGGAATTCAAATATAAAATATATAAAAAAAAACAATAAGGGCAAACTAAGCCCCAATTTTGAAATGATAGCAAATCAGCCTCTAACACAAATTAGATGGTAAACCCTCGAACTCGTTAAACGGTTAGATTTGAGTTACTTTTTAATAAATATTTTTTTTATAAAGTTTATTGGGTATTTATTGAGAATTTTTTAAAAAATTTATTGGAGATTTATTAAAATTTTTTTAAAGCCAATTAAATATATATATGTATGCGAATTTTTAAAAGAAAATTTGATATGATAGTAGTTTTATATATAGTTATAATTAAAATAAAATGATAGTATTTATTACATGATAAAAATAAAATCTGAGACAACTAAATAAAAATTTTGTCAATAACTTAAATAATTTTGTAATCTCCTTTCATTAAGTAGAAGTAAGATATTCTGAATTGAAATTGCATGATATGTTTGGTGGAGGAGGTTAAAGATGTAACATGACTGGTTCTCATCTTGTAACTTAAGATCTAAAATAAATAAATAAATAAATAAAAATTCTCATTTTTATTTGAAAATGAGAAAATTATATAAAAACAGTGAGTAATGAAGAAAAATAAATTCGTGGTGACTGTCCAGTTTGCATGTTGTTTTGAAGGTTTGGTGAAATATAATTTCAGTTTCTTTATATACACTCCAAATGAGCTTGGAAGAATCAAGTTCTATTTGAGTAGCAACCATTCCTAGATTACCACCAACAATGTCGAAGGTTTTAGGATCAGAGAAAATCTGCCCTCATATTGCCCTCTTCCCCAGTGCTGGAATGGGTCATCTAACGCCTTTCCTGCGGCTTGCCTCTGTGCTGTTGTCTAATAACTGTAAGGTTACTCTGATCACTCCCAAACCTTCGGTCTCAGTTGCAGAGTCCGCACATATTTCTTCCTTCGTTTCAGCTCATCCAGAAGTCAATCATCTTGCGTTTCAACTTCCTTCCTTACAGCCTCCTAATTCATCTACTAATGATCCCTTTCATATCCAGTTCGACACCATTCTTCGTTCTGTACATCTTCTCCATCCATTGCTATATTCTTTATCTCCACCTCTATCCGCTATCTTTTCTGATATTTTAGTAGCTGCTGGTGTCATTTCCGTTGCTGTTGATCTTGGTCTTCCCCATTATACTTTGGTCACCTTTTCTGCTAAATATCTTTCTCTGACGGCATATATCTCGATCATGGTATCTGATCCCACCAAACTTAGCTGTTCTGCTGAAATTGAGATCCCCGGCCTAGGGCCAGTCCCTGTGGGAAGCATCCCTCCTCCATACTTGAACCCAAATCATCTCTTCACATCGGTCTTTATGTCAAATGCAAGAGCTCTCCCGGGCGTTGATGGAATTCTAATAAATACCTTCGATTGGCTTGAACCGGAAACACTTTCTGCACTTAACAGCGGTAGTGTTTTCGCCAAATTTCCACCTGTCCTCCCTATAGGACCTTTAGTACCTTATGAGCTTAAGAGGAATGAAGAGTGTCAATACCTACAGTGGTTAGACGTCCAACCCAAAGAATCTGTGGTTTACGTGAGCTTCGGAAGCAGAACAGCCATGTCGAAAGATCAAATGAAAGAACTGAGAGACTGCTTGTGGAAAAGTAAGTATCGTTTTCTTTGGATTCTCAAAAGCAACAAAGTGGACAAGGATGACAAAGAAGATTTGGACACCCTATTAGGTCATTCCTTTTTTGAAGATACCAAGAACAGGGGAATGGTAGTGAAGCGTTGGGTATACCAACAAGAGATTCTAGCACATCCTGCCGTCGGAGGCTTTGTTAGTCACTGTGGTTGGAACTCATTGAGTGAAGCAGCTCGTAATGGGATTCGAGTTCTGGCATGGCCTCACCATGGGGACCAAAGGGTGAATGCGGAAATTGTGAAGAAGGTGGGGCTTGGGTTATGGGAGAGCAGTTGGGGTTGGGGTATTGAGAATCTAGTGAAGCAAGAAGAGATTCAGAAAATGATTGGTGAGCTGATGGAGGATGAGAAGTTGAGGATTACAGCAAAGAAGGTGGGCAATGAAGCTAAGAAAGCTGGAGAAATTGCTGGGAGTTCCAACAAGGTACTCATGAAAGTCCTTCGAGGCCTCGTAAAATAAAATCAGTTCAACTTTCCATAAATGTCGTGCTAAACCAGTCGCATGACCAGGTTTCCGTTGCATTTCATTCGTGTTCTCTCTTTGTTTTAAAATATAGATTGTTTGAATATTTTTATATTTTTTTAGATAAAATTTTTATAACATATGAATAATTCATATGTTATAAAAAATGTTACCTAAAGAAGTATAAATAATTTAAACAATTTATATTTTAAAATAAATATTAATCAGTGTGGTGATAAATAAATAAATCTATTTGTATCCTTCTGTGATTGGAGGACGTCATTGATCCATATTTATTTCGAGGGGTAGGTATGGGTCATTGTTATAATGTTGATAAAGATGTATTTTGAGTCCTAGTGTGGTTAGCTTATTGGATGGGTAGGGAAGGGTTTAGGAAGAAAATGTTTATCTCTATTGTGTAGTTTATAATTTGATATTGAGAAAAAAAAAATTAAAAAAAGAGCCCTCTACATGGTGCAAGGAGAAGCACTAATATGGTGTGTTTGTTGTGTGTATTTTATATTGTTTTATTCTGAATTTTAATGGAATTAAATTATTAATTGTTAGTTACTATTAGGTTTTAAAATTATGATATGCGTCAGTTTGTTGTGTAATACTTTTTTTATTTTTTTTCATATATCTGAATGAGTTATATAAAAGAAAATAATCATTTCTTTTCCCTAAATCCCTTCCCACCCGACTCAAAGTTTGAATTTGAGATTTCTAATTTGGAATTTCAAATAGTAAGAGTTTATATATAGATGGGTAGGAAGATAAAAAGGCATGGAAGAAGACTATTTAATATTTAATGCAACATTTTATTTTCCCATTTTTAAATATTTAAATGGCATTGCCTCTTCATCTTTCAATCCTTGATTTTTTTATCCATCCCCATGTCTTTTCTGCATTTTAGTATCTTAAAAGCCTTAACTTTCTATCATTTAGCCTCTATAATCTCCACCTTCCAAGTTTTAATTATTACTAATTAACATGCTACAAAAGGAAAAAAAAAAAAAAGGAAAAATAGTCTTGCCTCTTCATCTACCAAAGCATGAACCAATCTTTTCAATTTCTTTTATCAACAAAATTAAATTTTATTAAAAAGTGAAGTACAAAGGGTACTACTGTCCAAAAATAATTACACTGTACACCATGTTCAAATACACTTGCATGTCAACAACTTTGGCTCCATTTAGACTTAAAATAGAAATAACAAACCTCAACATGCAATGAAAACACATCCCTGCACCCTAATTTAATCCAAACAAATGATTTAGCTTGAATTGCATCTAGTACCTGCTACCCAAAAGTCCTGTCATTATGAAAAACAATTTTGTTCCTCCAAAACTAAAGGTATCCAGATTCCAATAAAAAAAAATACAAGAACCCAATCCCCTTCCTATATTCCTCCCTAACCCAAACATAAACACCTCAACATCTCCCCTAATAGTATTCAGCAACACCCCCTTCAAACCCCACCACTTTAACACCCTCGTTCATACCCTCCAATCTTTTCAATATTAATAATCTTATATATATATATATAAAATGCTACCCTATGCATTAAATAGGGTTTGCATTTATATATAATATATAATATAATATATAATAATTTAGAATATAATAATATTTACTTATTTATTATTTATTATATAATTATTATATACAATTATTGATAAATA